GATTTTTGATTCTTGCGGAAACAAGCAAACATATTGTTGGCATCACTGACTTGCAGTTCCATATCCATCAATTTCCCTTTATTGGCGTCGGTTGTGATTACCATGCCGGAATGCTCGATTGCCATTATCATGTGCATATATTTTTCAGATAACCCAGCCAACATCATAGATCCGATCCACTCGTCATTTATGCCAAATCCCGTACCTTGTAATTTCTGACCAGCTTCAACAATTTGTGTTACATATGACGTCATCGAAGTGCAATTTTCTAATCGAATAGATATTAAATTCCTCAGAAGACTTATTTTTCTTGTAAATCCCGAGTCATCGAATAACATCTTCAATTTATCCCACAATTCTTTCGATGTTGCTACATTCTTTATATGAACATAAAGAGCCGGGTCAATTGTTAGAATCAACTTCGCTTTTGTTCTCGCATCGTCTGCAGCTGCTGGAGCAACGTTGGGCTCAGGTTTGATACACCCAACCATTCCCTCTAAGACAAGGAAATTTTCTGCTCCGAAACACCATTCACTGTAATTTTCGCGCCCTTGCAGTTTCGGCACACTAACGTGATATTTCGAACTGGACGCCATTACTAATGCCTGACGACACAATAAATCTGCACAACTCAACACACTTAGGCCTATTCTGCCACGAATTATTATTATCGATAATGTCTTGATAATCAATAATTATACTGTCGCGAGAACTAAGTACTTTTTATGAGCCAGGAGCGGCCTGTGTCCATAACCTATAATAAAACAACCGACAACGTGACTCAGCGAGTACAAGAATGAACAGAACTGTATTTTCAGAAGAAAAAAGTAAAGAATCACATAGACAACATTTGTTCACACTTTGGTACGAGATGTCGCTAGTAGTAGGTACATAATCTATATTTTGCTATTTATAATAATTTTTGACGTTACATCTGTCAAAGTCATCTCAAAAAGCGTAAAATGAATCGCTAGGCCAACTATTTCGTTGTTGACAGTAACAGATATCCTTTACGTCATTCCGTTCTTTCCGAGTTTACGTAAAATGTGGTCCCTAACGTTTTTATCTGCCTCCACCTGTTTTTTGACGACTTCGCTACCCCTCTCGATTCTTTTTTACAAATGGTTGTAATTTATTGTATTTATATGTATGTTTATAAGTAAAAAATATTTATAATGTCTAGAGGAATGTTCCAGTTTGTACCCCCGGTAGGAGAAATACGAAGCATCAGCCGGAGAGCACACCTGCGTCTAGGTCAGAAAGAGCAGAGCCGGCCTCGCCATCTCAAGATGGTAGAGGACGGTGTTTAGGTTAGAATTAAGTCCCCTGATATTGCAGAAATTCACGGATAGCGTGGCAGGGGTCGCCTTGGTCTTGTTGCTCAGTTTGCCCCGAGCACTTATTGTCTTGAGTGGAATCCCGCCCCCCCCCCCCAGATTACGCGGGGCAGCCTGAGCATCCACGCTCAGGATTGGAGTAACTTGGTCGTGGATGCTCAGCGAGGGATTCTCTGGGGGTGCTGGTACCCTCCTGGTGTAGATCTTTACTTAATTCCGCTATCATGTTAATATTGGGGGGGAGGGAGTAGGGCCTCCGGTCGTACACTCACCAGACGAAACGCGGACGCAAAGCTTCCACTTCACGCCGGTATTCTGTGAGGTCGTTTAACCCCGGTTTAAGTCATCCCATACGTGCAACAGCAAAGCTGCCGCGTGGCTCTACCACTGTTCAAATAATCTGTTATATCCTAGCAGCTGAGAAGTTTTGAACGGATATGTAAATTACACCTAGACTTAATTTATTAACTCCAGCTAAGAATTCCTAAAACCGTCGTTTCATTTCATATAAAAGATAATGAAAGTTTTTCAGTTACTGTAAAATTATTCCAGTCAATTAGAAAGTAAAATTAACTTTATTTAACTAACAGTTATTAATTAAGAAAAACAACACTCCATTGATCATAAAAAATGCACTCGCAGTGTGTCATAAGCCTTGCTAACAATTAAAAGGAACAAAACTAGACAACAAGAAAGAACGGTGAGTTAGTGAGGGAGATTTGGGATAGGGCAATGTAACCCAAGGGGCCAGCAGCTGGCTTACTTCATAGGGAAAGAGGGACTCTTTATGATAAATTCTGTGCCCCGACGGTTCAACAAAAAAATGAGATTGACTTCATTATGACGACTAGACGGCAACTGTTTAGTTATGTCTCTGTGATCGCAAGGGTGAAAACTGGCACCGATCACCGAATGGTTAGAGGCACACTGAAACTAAACTTTGAGTTGAAGAGGTCTCGTCTAATGAAATCGACGCTCCGTCCTCCTCGTGCTCTAATCTGAAGTACTGAAACCTTCCAGCTCGTGTTACAAAACCGTTTTCAATGCCTAAAAGACTGCAATGCAATGGACGATACAAATGACAAGCTCATGGAAACTTTCCTTGCGGTCCAAGCTAAAATCTACAAGACCCGCCGCGGAAAACACAAAACTCTTCGATCACACTCTTAATCTCATGGCTGTTAGACGGGAAATGAAGCTGCAGTCTTCAACACATTAGACAGCATACATCAATGGCGTGTTAATCACTCACCTTCGATTTGCCAAACATATAGTCCTTATGGCAGAATCGCTGGAGGACCTAAGCACTATGCTCAATGGCCTCAGTAGTATCTCCCAACGAATAGGTCTTAAAATGAACATGGACAAAACAAAGATCATGTTTAATGACCACGTCACACCTATGCAGGTAGTTTACCTTGAACAAATAGTCTAACTAGGTAAGTCCAACTTCGACCGAGAGGTCAATCGACAGATTTAATCCGGCTGGGCAGCATTCAGGAAATTACGACACATCTTCTCTTCAGGTACCTCAAAACCTGAAAACTAAATTGTACAACCAGTGCATGTTGCCTGTGATGACTTATGGATCTGAGACGTGGTCCCTCGCTGCTGGCCGTATTAGGACGCTCAAGGTCGCTTAGCAAGCTATAGAGAGGACCATGCTCGGTGGTGATAAACTTAGAAATGAGGATATCTGTAGTAGAACCAAAGTGACCGACATAGCTCAATGGATTCGTAAGCTGAAGTCGCAAAGGGCCGGCTAAATAGAAGAACCGACAACCGATGGGGGAAAAAGGATCTCGAGTGGCAGCCTCGTACTGGTTGGAGTAGTGTAGGGCGCCCCCTCACTAGGTGGAGTTTTTTTATTTTCTATATATTAATACGTTTTTTAGGTGTTTCACATTTATAGTGCTCAAGTTTTACACTTAAAAAAGCACTTTTTATACGTGGTAGAGCCGTGCTGCAGTTATATTAGTGGTATAGTTGTAGCACGCATGGGTCGGCTCGATCGGGGAAGGAACCACGCTCTCACAGAATACCAGCGTAAAATAGTAGCTTAATGTTGCTGTGTTTCGTATGGTGAGTGTAGAGAACCGGAGATCCTTTTTACTGGAAACTAGGCATTCCATCTTAGTCCTTACGGGTGACAACGCATCTGTACTTTGATTCGTAATCGAGGATAGAGTAGATGTCTATGGGCCACAGCAACCAACTTACCATCAGGTGGACTGTGTGCTTGTTTGTCACCCTATCCTATAAAAAAACTAGTTTTCCGTCTGACTCCGTCTCTTGATGTCCGAAAATTTAAAAGAAAAAAATAATATACACATATATAAATGGACTAATAGCAAAAATAACCGGCTTTTTTATTTATGATTACGTTTGCATGCAATATCTATAGTATTTTTGTATTAAAAGGTTATTTCTAAATGAATTTAAAGAAACAAAATGGGCTACATAATTATATGCAAATACCTCTTTTAATGAATACTTTACTAGAAATACTTTTTTTAAGGTCGCTGGTGTTTACATCTCGAGCTACTGAAGCGTTAGCCCAGGCCTGAAAACATCCTACATAGTGAGTAATGCAGTCCTACATGAGCGATGAAACCAAGGCTGAGATCTGCCTTTGATGGGTACCACAGATGATTGAATAAATATTTTCGTTCCCTGTTTCACCAAATCAGTGTCAGAGACGGCAATCATCCGGCGAGAAGCGAACCATGGGTAGGATACAGATAATGACCGTATTCTGTCCCAGTCCGACAACTTGTGGTATCAAACACGGCGGCAGTCTGCAGAACGCAATCGCGTAGGGAGCGTGAGTGGCTCCACACTCCGGATCGGACAATGGCCCTGAGAGCCAAGAAGGGCGTCGACGGAGATCAGATCAGGAGATCATCTAGATGAGAGGTCAGCAGAAGGTCCTACAGGAAAGCTGCATGATCCTCCACATCTGAAATCCGCGTAGGCAAAGTAACCAGTTGTGTCAAACCATATATTAAGGCAAAATCATGAACAGATCTCCCCGCATGGTCGGTTAAGCGTGAACCGAGCCGTCCGACGTGATGTGCATAAAATGAACAAAATGAGAGCAGAGCTTTTACTTCACGCTGGTTTTCTGTGATATCGTTCCAGCCGGACCGGTTCGAGCCGACCCATACGTGCAACAGCAAAAGCTGCCGCGGAGCTCTACCTCTGTTGAAACTTAACTTTGTAACATACTTATTTTTTTATATCTTACTATATAACAAAGGCCGATTTTTCGATTCTCAGGTTTTTTAAAGATTGATAAAATTATATATATAAAAGATAGCTTTAAAACATAACCTATATAAAAATATCAGTTGTAAGAGAATAGTTCAATTGTTTCTTTTTTTTAATTCTATCAGGTTATAATTTTTAGATGGATAACGAGCTTTGGCGGGAACTTAACCGTAGACGGATTGTTGCTCCTGCTTTATCTATTTATGTTATATTATCTTAACATATTATTTGGTAAGGAACTTGCGAAAGAAGTGTGACCCTTTTTAAGCCAAAATAATAATATCTAGAGTCCAGCAGTGGAAATTTAAAAGCTGATACAAAAAAAGTCTAACCTTCTTCTGTTTAAATCAATGTATCTCTATCAATTAAAACTAACAATTTAACTCATTCCAGGAATCCCGATATTCTTCTACGTTTTGACAGTGGTGGGAGCCTCGAGTTACTCCTACGTGTACATTATTTCTATGATGTGGTTCGTGTTTGTCCGGTGCCCGCAGACAGGCGACTTGCTTGCTGCCGTGATTGTGTTTTCACTTGGTATTGGCAGCGTGATCGGGATCATCAAGTTCATCTACGCTTTAATTTACATGTATTGTTTCTTATTATTTTAGTAGAATTAGAATTTTAAAATAAACATATTTAGCCAAACAACACAGTACAGTTACGGCAGTACTGCGATACCACCCCTGATCTCAAAAAATCTGATGGTTCTGAGTGTTTGTTTTTTCCTTGCCTCATGGCCTTCGCATATAGGAATCAATATGCGCCGAAAGTGAAACACCATAGAGTTTTAATCGCGAGTCCAATAAAAACCCGCCCTTACCCTCGCAAGGCGGGTATTTGTAGGCATTCCCCTATGTAAAAAAGCACTGCGAGTACATCATTTACCTTTGCAGGGATGTGCAACGGCCTTTACTAAGCAGTAAAACGCACATAAGCTGTTACCTTGTATTCACCTTTTAATTAAAATCACAACTTGTATTATATAGGGATTGTAAAGTGCGTACTTCAGCTAACTTCAAGCAATTCCCCCAGCGTTGTGACAGCTAAGAATAATATTATTAACACCAACGGTCGAAATCAGTTTGGATTCCAATCCGAAAAAGCATTACGCAACCATTAAGTAAATTTTCAGATCCCATCTACACACACCTTAATAATAAAACATACGTCCTAGAAGTATTCATCTATTACAGCAAGGCTTTTGATACCCTAGGGCACAGTACGCTTATTGAAAAACTTAATAACTGTGGATTACGGGGTCATGTAAACAAATGTTGTCAGGATTATATGAAAGATAGAACCCTATGTGTCAAGGTTGGAGAGGAACTCAGCACTAAGGTGAGAGTATCTAAGAGCACAGCACAGGGCTCTGTTCAGGGGCCAGTGCACTACATCACATATGTTAATGATCTGGTTAACTTGATTAGTAACTGCGAAATATATCAATTTGCAGACAACACATATTTAGTATCTGCAGACGTTACAAAAACATCGCACTACATTGCCTCCAAACGGACTTCACCCTTCTAACAAAGTGGTCCCATGGTAATGGACTTGTTCTTAACAACAAAACCTAGCTATATATATATATATATATACATATATAGATATGTCTATAAAAATATATATATATATACATATAATTCTGACACCATTTGTTTAGCTGACCTCGTAATCCATAGTTATTAAGTTTTTCAATAAGCGTACTGTGCCGTAGGGTATCAAAAACCTTGCTGTAATCGATGAATACTACTAGAACGTATTTTTTATTATTAAGGTGTGTGTAGATGGGATCTGAAAATTTACTAAATGGTTGCGTAGTGCCTTTTTAGGTTGGAAATCAAATTGATTTTAGACATTTCGACGGCTATATTACACCTAAACTAATAATTGAATTAACTTTTACACTTAAAACTACCATTACTGTGCATAATATCGAAAGAAAACTTTATATATATATATATATATATATAGCCACAGCGTGGCTCTCCACATGGAAAATCCTCAAATCTGTGGAATCATTCAAATGTACGAGTAAATCAGTGTATTCTCGTACCCTTGGTTTCATAGTGTTGAGAGTAAAAATCATCGACTAAGGGCACATCATAGATTTAGGCCGGACGGAAGGTCCACTGCTGTATATAGGCCTACCCCATTGATAACCTCTTAGAGGAAATATTTACAATTGTTGGAACGCTTAGCGTGCGGCTTGGCAATCGCAGTTTATTTTTTCATTGTTACTAGGAAGATGCTGCTGTCCATCTCCTGGTTAGTTTCTCTCTGTCATATATTTTGACACTCATGTGACGAAATGAGGTAGTGGACTTCAATAGGCTGTAGCGGTAGCGGTAAGCACTTGTAAACATAGTCATTATGTTTCAGAAATTCTATCAGAGATTTAAATGAGGGGTATCTGATGTGCGATTCCCAAGTGACACAAGGAAGTCGATTTCATACAAACCTTACGAAATATTTGCGTGTAGTGAAAAAACGTGCGATGACCTTCTGGATCGTGATTATAAGTAATGGTGTGGCTTACGTCACAAAACCTATGATTCTACCCGGTAAACATTTGGCCGAGGAATTGTTCATTTTTTACGGTCAGTGTAATTATTATTGTTTATATTTTACCATTATTTTAAGCTGAAAAAGAAGCCACTCGAACCACTATGAGTAAAATGGCGATAAAAACTTAATTGTTTTTGCATAATTAATAGTTTTGTAACAAATATTCGGCTATTATTCGCTATTCGGCCTATTCGGCTACTATTATCCGTTTTGGTCGATTACCGAATATCTAAGTAATATTCGACCGAATAATAAATACTTAAGAAAGAGTTTTTTTTTTTGTAAACAGATAATCGGAGAAATGAAAATATTTACTTGTTTTATAAATCTTTTTCTAATCATAAAAGTAGTCATAGGTCATACGTGGTAGAGCTATGCTGCAGTTATATTGGTAGTATAGTTGTAGCACGAATGGGACGCCTCGACCGGGGAGGGACCACGCTCTCACAGAATCATCATCATCATCATCATCATTACAGCCCTTCACAAGTTCTCTGCTGAACATAGACCTCCCGCAAGTAATGCCACAAAGCACGGTCCTGAGCCACCTGCATCCATCGACTTCCTGCATATCTTACCAGGTCATCACTCCATCTAATGGGAGGTCGCCCTACACTACACCTACCGGTACGAGGTTGCCACTCGAGAACCTTTCTTCCCCATCGGTTATCGGTTCTTCGAGCTATATGGCCGGCCCATTGCCACTTCAGCTTACTAATCCGTGGGGCTATGTCGGTCACTTTGGTTTTACTGCGGATAACCTCATTTCTGAGTCTATCATGCAGAGAAACTCCAAGCATAGCCCTCTCCATAGCTCGCTGAGCGACCTTGAGCGTCCTCATACGGCTAGCAGTGAAGGGCCACGTCTCAGATCCGTAAGTCATCACTGGCAACACGCACTGGTTGTACAATCTATTTTTCAGAGATTGAGGTATACCTGACGAGAAGATGTGTCGTAATTTCCTGAACGCTGTCCAGCCGAGTTGAATCCGTCGATTGACCTCTCGGTCGAAGTTGGACTTACCTAGTCGGACTATTTGTCCCAGGTAAACGTACTCGTCAACAACTTCGAGCATAGTGATCCCAACTACTACCGGCATAGGTGTGACATGGACATTAAACATGATCTTTGTTTTGTCCATGTTCAACTTAAGACCTATCCTTTGGGAGACACCATTGAGGTCATTGAGCATAGTGCTTAGGTCCTCCAGCGATTCTGCCATAAGGACTATATCGTCGGCAAATCGAAGGTGAGTAATGTACTCGCCATTGATGTTAATTCCGTATCCTTTCCAATCCAGTAGCTTGAAAACGTCTTCCAATGAGTTTCGGAGAAATAACGTCACCCTGTCTTACACCTCTCTGCAGTTGGATAGGTTTCGAGCTCTGGTTCTGTACTCGGATAGCCATTGTAGCCCTACTGTACAAACATTTCAGCACTTCGATATACCGACAGTCAACTTGGCAAACGCTGAAGGGACTGTAGCACCGCCCAAATTTCGACGGAATCAAAGGCTTTCTCATAGTCCACATACGCCAGGCAAAGTGGCAGATTGTACTCTTGGGTCTTCTGTACAATCTGCCGCAGGAAGCCGTTTCGAAAACCGGCTTGTTCGGGTCTCACAGAATACCGGCTTAAAATAGTAGCTTAACGCTGCTGTACTTCGTACGGTGAGTGTAGAAAACCGGAGACTCTTTTTAATAGAAACGAAGCATTCCATCTTAGTCCTTACGGGTGATAACGCACCTGCATTTTGATTCGTAATCGAGGATAGACGTAGATGTCTATGAACCACAGCAACCACTTACCATCAGGTGGACTGTGTGCTCGTTTGTCACCCTATCCTATAAAAAAAAACTAGTTTTCCATCTGACTCCGGCTCTTGATGTCCGAAAATTTAAAAGAAAAAAATAATATACACATATATAAATGGACTAATAGCAAAATTAACCGGCTTTTTTATTTATGATTACGTTTGTATGCAATATCTATAGTATTTTTGTATTAAAAACCTATTTCTAAATGAATTTAAAAAAACAAAACGGGCTACATAATTATATGCAAATACCTCTTTTAATGAATTAGTTGTCCACCCCATGCTATAAAAAAGATAATATAATTAACTTCCATATAATAAAAATTAAAAAAAAACTATCAGATAAATATCTATGCACTCAAATTATTGTAATTAAAGTTGAACATAATGGTGCCGAAAGACTAATTTTTCTCCATTTTCAGGCATTAGCCTTTTTATGTCAAGTGACTACCACCGCCCATGAACAACTGCAACACCAGAGGAATTGCAAGTGCGTTTCCGGTCCTATTGAGAGGAGTAAGCTCTTTTCTTGAAGGTCCCTAGTCCGTATCGATCCGGGAAAATTGCCGGTGGTAAACTATTCTACAGAGAGGTCGTACGTAGAAGAAAACTCCTTGTGAAACGTACAGTGGTGGACTGCGAAGCATCCAGATGATGTGGATGGTGTCGGAACGTTTACCGTGTAGTGCGTTCACGAAATTTGGCGACTGGGATTAATCCGAACAATTCCTCAGAGCACTCCCCGTGGTATATGCGATAGAAAATGCAAAGAGATGCAACAGCGCCAGTGTATCGAGCCAATCGAAAAGCACTCGGTCATCGATGATTCGAGCCGCTCTGCGCTGATTGCGGTCAAGTAGAAGGAGCTGGCACTGGGGAGCCCCAGCCCAGAGATGGGAACAGTATTCCATGTGCGGCCGAACTTGCGCCTTGTAAAGCTGCAGGCGTTGTGCCGGCATGAAATACTGTCCCGCTCTGCTGAGCACGCCAAGATTTTTAGAGGCCAATTTGGCCTTCTCTTCCAAGTAACCACGAACCTACATGTCACTCGATATATCGACGCCGAGGATTCCGATACTGACTGAAGCAACAAGGGAGTGCCTTTAAACTGAGAAGATACGACAAAGGGGTTCTTTTTAGCGGTTGACGCGAAAAATTGTGTCATCTGAGGGTTGAACTGGACTAGATTTAGTCGCCCCCAATCCGAGACTTTGTTTAGCAAAGACTCGACTTCATACACAGGTTTATCCTGGTACTCGGAGACGTTTTCCCGAGAAATATTGGCACGGCTGGTGTACAGAGCATCACCAGTGCTGTCATCTGCATAGCAATGAATGTTAGGGTTTGTAACATATCATTTATATGCAGAAGAAACAGCGTTGGTGATAGCATGCAACCTTGTGGAACACCAGCATTAATAGGCTTGTAATCGGAGCTTGCACCGTCTACAACGACCTTGATGCTCCGATCTGCAAGAAAGCTGGTGATCCAATTGCACAATTTCTTGGGAAGCCCATAGGAAGGGAGCTTCGAAAAAAGCGCTTTGTGCCAAACCCGACCTTCGCAATGTCCAAACTAACGGCCTATACCTCCTCCTTATACTCTCCTTTCTCCGCCCATCTATAAGTCAGGTAGACAAGATCACCAGCTGATTGACCATGACGAAAACCGTATTGGCAATCACTGATCAGCAGGTTATCCTTAAGGTACCTCATGAGTTTACAATGGACTCCATTGTTTTGGAGAACAAGGAGGTGATGGCAATAGGCCAGTAGTTGGACGGGTCTGAGCGGTCACCTTCTTTAGGGATCGGTTGGACGAAAGCCGTCTTCCATGATTTTGGGACTACGCCTAGGGAGTAGGAGTACCGGAAAAGACGCGTTAAAACCGGTGCCAACTCTGGAGCACACATCCTTAGCACAATTGGGGGGATTCCGTCAGGCCCAGTCGACTTGTGGAAGAACAGGGAGAGGAGTGCTTTGCAATTCGAGCGCTGTGTAAACCGCACCTCCGGCATGGAGCACTCACACCGCTGGATGGTTCGCGGCGTACTCCCCCCGTCATTGAGAGTCAAGTTGGACGCAAATAAAGAGCCTAGCAGATCGGCTTTCTCCTTTACGGCATGGGCCAGTGAGTCGTCCTCCCTGTGCAGAGACGGAAGAGATGGCTGACCGAAATTCCCCTGGACAGTCTTAAGAGAGACCAGAATGCACGGATTCCAGAAGGAAGGTGAACTAGTTTCTCGCCAATTCTGCCTATGAGCTCTGACTTTGCCTTGGCAATGACCCTTTGAAGGGCCTGGAGGCGGAATTATACTTCTTTTTTAGAGTGCTGGTGTTTACATCCCGTGATCTTGATGCATTGGGTAGGCGAAGTAACAAGTTGTGTCAGACCATATTACTCCTTTTACTCCTTTTTTTTCTCGTTAACTATTCTATCTCTCATCATAGAAAAGACGCTCCGATGAATAAACTTCCTTCCCGGCCGAATACTTTTCCCTAATATTCGGCAAGAAGTCCTTATAATATTTGGTATTTGGCGTGTGGCCAAATATACTATTCGTTACAAGTTTAATAATTATTTTATTTGCTATTTTACTCATAGTGATTTAAGTAAATGTCCACTGCTAAACAAGGGTCTTTACAGTTGTGAGGAGGATAGAAAAGAAAATAGAAAAAGATATTTATTTGGTTTATTATTTTACAAGAAAAAAAATCGAATATCCATCCGTAACTACCTACTACCTACCGGTTTTATGGTCCTTTGACCAAAAATAATAGTACCATAATACTGCCACTCAGAATATATTAGTATGTGTCACTTTCTAGCCCCGATTTTTGTTGCAAACTTATTTGACTTTGCTATTATTACTATTACCACATAATATCATTTTCAACAAGTAATTTTAGTTTCAGTGAATACACAGAGAAACGCGGCTAAGCGGCTTTTTTTATACACAAACGGGCATACAGTTGTAATGTTGCAAGGTGTTCAATTAAAAAGAGAGGCGTGTTTCTCAGCTTAAGACTTTAATTATTCTATATTTATTCTATACTTAACACACATATATATGTATATATGTAGTCGTAAGGGCTATCCATACCAAATAGTAAGTAGTTGCGGAGATCAATAGACGTCTACTTCTATCCTCGATTAAGAATCGAGATGCAGATGCGTTATTACCCCTGAGGACTAAGATGAAATGCCTCGTTTCCATTAAAAAAGGGTTCCGGTTCTCTACACTTCACATACGATACACAGTAGCGTCAAGCTACTCCTTTACGCTGTTATTCTGTGAGAGTAATGTCCTGTCCCGGTCGAGCTGACCCGTTTGTGTTTCACCATAATATAGTAGCAGCATAGCTGTAACAAATATAAACTTAAACTTAAAAAATTAAAGCTTAAAGGCAAAAATGGCTTAATAGTTAATTCAATTTAAATTGTTATCAACAGGTCTTGAACCAATGCACGAATCACCAAACTACGAGATAGCAATGGCGCTTACGACATTTGCAGTATTATTCGCAGTTTACACGACTGCTAACATCACCGCGTTCTTTATTACAGTCAGTGGGTATAATGAAGCGCAAATGTTAGCACTTAGTGAAGAATTACTACTGCTTTGGAACGATGCAGAAACATTCTATCAAGAAACCCAAAACCAAATGTACAACCCTGAAGACATTGTTTCTAACGTAAAATCAAAATTCGTAAATCAATTTATCAAAGACCGTCTAAAAGACATAGCCAAACGCCACGCAGTAAACATTAACCTGTTACGAAGGCTTGATAATATATATCGCGGAGCCGTAGCAATCGAATTTTTGATTCTTATAGTTGCAATGATAGCAGAACTACTCGGAGGACTGGAAAACACTTATCTTGAAATACCTTTTACGATATTACAAGTGTTTATGGATTGTGTGATTGGACAACGATTGTTAGATGCCAGTAATGTATTCGAGAGCGCTGTATACGCCTGCAATTGGGAAAATTTTGATAAAAGCAACATGAAGACAGTATTCGTGATTTTTCAGATTTCGCAGAAACCTTTCACTCTTTCAGCGGGTGGGGTCGCAATATTAGACTTCGCCTGCTTTATGTCCGTACTCAAGTCCATTTATTCAGCTTATATGACTTTACTTACTGTAATGCATTAAACTATAAATATTACCATAAATCGTATTGAGTTGTGAAATACTTTCATGCTTATATATGACATTGTTTAAAATACACAAACATTTGAAAACTTCTAAAATGTTAATTATTGAGGTACTATAGATTATAATTGAGTATGAATGTAGAGAACAAACTCTACTTTGTTTTTTTTATGAAATTTGGCAACAATTTTGGATGAAAAGTTCAATCGAAGAAAATTTTCCAATTATTAAGCATTAGTAAGATTATTTCATGAAAAATTTATCATAGTCGAGTAAATGATAGATAGAATGGTTGTGGATGATACAAAAAGTATAAGAGTAATTACATACATATTTATACTATATAAGTATGAATATATACATATTTATACTTAGGGTAATTACATACATAATTATGCGTAGAAGTAATTTACAACTCCACATAGAGACTCAATATCACTCACTTTTTCTAATAAAATATTCAAAGATTAACAAAGAGACAAACCTTTTGAAAACAAGATATTACGTGTAATTCATGACAAGTGATCACTTTACGTCTCTTTATATGATGCCAAATATGAGAGGAAGTAACCTCTTATCTTCTGATTTACTAAAAAAATAATGTCATCTTTACGTTGAAGTAATACGTGTGACGTTATTCCTTATGATATGACGTATTTAATCTATAATAATTTCCTAAGATGATTTCGTTCTCAATGTAAGCAACAATCAACCTACTCATTTTTGTTTTCTTTCTTACCTCATTAAATATCCAAAAAAAATAGTTCTAGAACTATTATTATTCAAACAATCAAGAGAACTGTTTCCGGATCAGTGATGATGGTTATATTACATTGTAAATATCTGTGTCGCAAATTTTAAGAACGAATAATTGGCAAAGTATAAATATTAAGTAATAAGTGATGTAAAAACCCTGTGATGAACCTGACAATTATTTTATTTTAACCTGGTGATTGATTAGGTTACTAAGACAAAGTTATTAAATTATTGTATTTTCATCGGTCCTCGATACAAGTCAATCGGCCGTCTACAAGTTGGTGAAAATTACATAAAAAATTCCGTTACATAGATAGATACACGCCTATTAATGTTATTCGACTCCTCTTTTGTTATGAGGTGTCAGATAAATCATCAAATAACGTTCATTGATAAAAAAATTGGATTATTCAAAATTCTTAGTTTTACTAAGTCACATACTAAATGAATTTATCGCCATTTTTTGTTTCGCTAACGGAAAAAAGCAACAACCTTGTGGAAGAAAAGATTTGAAAATAATATTGTGCCACGTATCTTGTAGTTGAACTCTTTATGCATAGTACAATGTTGTTCTTATTTTAGGTTTACCTCTTTGCTTATAATTTATAACTTTGAGATAAAGTAAATACCTATTCAAAGATTTATAATGTACAAAATTGTAGTCACTCTTTCTAGGATATTATAGTAATTTAAAATAAATCTTGTGCGTATAGGAGTACTTTATTGGAAATAACACTAGTGTAGCGATATTTATTTCTATAAATTTAACCCTCCGCGCACCAGGTGACTAAAAGTCTCGTCCCATACTAGGTGTGGTGTGACAAACCCTAAAATATAAAAGTGATAAAATTTATATATTTTTTGTTATTTTACGGATTGAAATATAAGGTATTTATAAATACACAATAATAATCAGGTTTAAGTAAAACTAAGAGCGGAGAGTATTTGTTAAAATAATAATTATTATAAATGAACAAAAAAACACAACTTCTGTAATTTATGTAACTCAACAGTCATTTTCTTATATACTAATTCCAAATGACGCTTATAATTATTACAATCGTTTTAAATTCACAAACTACAATATATTTTCTAATAATCAAACATATATTGAACACAGGATAGATAAATTTTATTTGAGATCATCGATGTTCAACTGACAACAGACTTGATGACAAAAAATCTGTGTGCTCCATATTGCATTGCATTACATTTGGCACATAACATTTTTTTACATGAGTATTTTGTTTTACGATCTTTGTTTATAGGGCAAATTAAGCATTTTTGGAGCATTAGACTTTTTTGCTGTACGATCTGTTTAATTTTTGGGCGTATCATCAAAATATTTAGCAATTCTATTGCATAGGTCCCTTCGAAGTTTTTGGTTCTGCCTTCTGGAATTTAAGTGGCCTTTTATCAAAGAAATACCAAATTCTGGAATAAATTTACTTCTCGAAAACGGTGAGCTTATGGTTATAAAGGAAATTTTCTGTACCTTCGTAGCTAGTAAAAAAATTATCCATAGTGATATTCCAAGAAGACTGTATAATACCTTTGTCTAGACGGGCGAAGCTCTAAAAATGGTACATCGTCGTCACTGTCAAAATCGGAAAAAAAAATTTACACTCTGAATACTCAAATGTTCAGATTCACCTTCAGATCCCGGTCCTGAACCTCCAGATTCTAACTCAAAGTCGTCTCCTTCATCTTAAAGAGCTTGTAATATATCAGCTTCCTTGATATAGGACATTTTTCATGTAAACTATTATCTGTAACTAGTTCAAATTCATTTAAAATGCTAAACATACATAATATAATACAAATAAATAAAAAATACATAAATTACATCGAATAAAAATCTTACCTTTTAATTAACGCGCCGTACGAGGTGGGGTGTGTGACGCCCACACGCACTTTAAGGATGTGTAGCTAACTTGGCGATTGTCACCGGAACGACTTAGCGGCACTGGTCGGAGTGGCAACGTTATAATTCCAGCTACTGAAAATTCGAACTTCGGCGCGTTCACAGTTTTAAAATTATCGCAAAATTTGTAGGACTGGGGTTTGTCAAACCCCACCTGGTACACGGAGGGTTAACATCGTACATATATAGGTGGACTAAATGTCTGTGGTATTCTCTACCAGTGTCTCAGGGTAATGTAGAGATAGAGAGTAGGTGTGATAAAATGTTAAGAAGAGAATACAAAAGCAAAATAACTAAAAATTTTGTAATACATGGAAATATTATACATGAAATGTTTATGGTACATCACAAAAATATCAAATAAACTTAATAAAAAGTATGTATATAACCAAATTAATAAAAAAATTTAATTCATATGTACATATTAAAATATCAGATGTATATTTCTTATAGTACTCATACAGCAGAGCAATAAATTAACAGTGAATTATAAATAAAACAAAAAAGAAATATTATTATACAACTTTTAAAAATCGTAAAAAACCATCCAACCATCGTATAAATTCGTTGTCAAGAAAAACGATAAGATCCAATTATGTACCCTTAAAAATTAAAATTGATTCAATAATAATGACAAACCTACAGAAAATCTGTGACTGTTTAAGTAGCTAATTTATTATTAAGTAATAGCATTCCTGCAGAATATTATATTATACGTCATTCAAATTAAGAGAAAATAGCCCTGCTAAAGAATTATCAAGCCTAGTGCCAACGACAACTACCGAGGTGTTATAAAAATTATTTCAACCGCCGCCAGCTAAAATGACTAACATCACTCGCTCGCTTCGCGTGACGCGGCATTGCTAAAAATAACCTAACCTTGAATTTGTCGTACATTTATCTCATAGGTCTTTATGCTCTAACGTCAGTGTGGGTGTTGATGATATTACTACTAAAGTAATAAAACCCAAAAAAATTTAACTGTCGAAGAATTGGCAGTCAATTCATCTGCAGCTGTCTAGAGAAAGGAATATTCCCAGGTTTCCTAAAACTAATGAAAGTAGCACCAAGTAATAAATCATGAACTAGGAAACTACCGTGCAATATCAGTGCTGCCTGTGATCTTTAAGATCTTTGAAAGAATAACCTATAACAGGTTGCTTACATATCTTCAATCTATATTTTTTATAGACATACGGATATAGACAATATGGATTTTAGACATAAAGTAAAACCTTATCAGATACAATAAATATAATATAGAATCAAAAATATTTCATTAGGAGTATTTATGGACCTCAAAATGGCTTTCGATACAATAAGTCATCTCTTACTCTTAAATAAACTAAAAAATATTGCAATAATATCTGCTACATACAATATATTGGAATCATATTTAATCAATAGGTATCAGATAGTCAAAATTAATCAGTGTGAAAGTGCGCCCCTTCCTATTACCTACTGTGTGTCTTAAGTATCAATATTGGGCCCTTTGCTCTTTTTGATCCATATGAATGATATGTACAAAGCGAAGCTCCCGGGTCATCTTACCTATATGCGGATGACACTTTTCCAATTTACTTTGGTCTTTTATTTTATGATATAATGGGCCTGGTGCCCAGAAAATTTTGGATTTACTTTTCCACTGGTTTCAGTACAACTTACTCACAATGGACATATCTAAAACTTGTTATATAGTGTTCTGAGCAAAAACAGGAAATTTTAATAAAATATTAACTTGCATATAAATGGTTAAATTATATAAAAGAAAAATCAGGAAAAGCTTTTAGGGTTAATACTTGATATTAAACTTACATGGAAGGCACATATTGAAGGACCACAGAACTATACAACTTTGTTTGTTCACTAGAGCTTAGTTGGTGTGATAAGATCATAGTTCTTTGTTTGCAGAATAGGGGGCAAATGTGCATGCGGCTCACCTCATGGTAAGTGACTTCCACCACCCATGAACAACCGCAACACCAGGGCAATCGCAGGTGTATTGTCGGTCTTTTAAAAATTCTTTATACATATATATATATATATATATATATATATATATATATATATATATATATTTCGTCTGCATAGCAATAAATGTTACCAGTTTGCAACATATCAATGATATGCGGAATAAACAGCGTTGATGATCGCATGCAGTCTTGTAGAACACAGGTGCTCTAATTTATATATATAATGTCCTCCAGGCCGAATTTCGGCCACGGCGACCTGCCTCAATGGAGGCTAGCCATCGGCGCAGGATAGAATTATAGTGCCCAAGTGTATGCGCAAGCACAGGTACACTCTCTATTCCCTCACT